ACACACACACTCACACACACACACACACACACACACACACAAACACAAACACACACACACTCACAATCACACACACACACATAAACACACACACACACACACACACAGATTGCTAACACTTTTGTCTTGCATGCTTCCAAATGCCGTTTCTTTCTCTCCAGCTTCCGTTCTGGAACGGTTGTGATAATGACGATCAGTGCGTTCCCAACCTCGTCCTGCAGAGCAGCTCTGATCTGTTAGACCGCAGGTTTGTCCTCAAACACACTCTTCTGCTCTTCTTCACACCTCAGTCTTTATGCAGGGCTTCTGCTGGCCTTAAATTGGAGCATAGTCTTAAATTGTACATACTTAGTGTTTTTGTGTTGTTTAGTAAACATTCTTGAATCAAGATACATTTACTCAAGATGCAAAATAAAGATATGAAGTCTTGTTTTCTGAACAACTGAACACAACTAAGTGAGTTTATGCTTAAAAACAAGAAAAACAATCTCTCAGTTGAAAAACTTTTGCAATGAATTAAGTACGTTTTTCTGAATCCATTGGCAGATATTTTGTTCCTATTTAATCACGAACTCACTTCAATTTCCCAGAAAACGAGACTTCATGTGTCATTTTTCTTCTCAAGTAAATGTAGCTTGATTTAAGAATCGTTAGACATTTGTACTGGAAATCTAGAGAAAAATACTGAGGAAGAGCATCACTTTTTTTGCAGTGTGATAAGAGGGAAAAGTACGTTTTCCTTGAAGAAACTTGTAGTTTCTGTGTGTTTCAGGCAGTTCTGCGGGCGACGCGAGCGCTCCTCGTGGCCGGTGTGTGTGCATCAGAGGACGAGCGGCGAGCGTTTGGTGGAGGCAAGCCGGAGGAAAGTTCTGGTGGAGACGCGTTTGGAGAACCAAGGAGAAAACTCATACGGCACGATCCTGCACATCACGCATTCTCCAAACCTCCAGTTCTCCAGTCTGGTGCTGAAGGTTTGCTCGATCTGAATCTCGGCCAGGGCTTCACCTGTATTTATGAGGGTTTAGAGCATTAAAGGAATGGAAGGGTTGCTGATAAACAGGCCAAGAGTGGAAGGGAAACTATGAGTCAGTGTGTGTGGATCTGATCCAAAGTACGTTTTTCTGAACCCATTGGCAGATATTTTGTTCCTATTTAATCACGAACTCACTTCAATTTCCCAGAAAACGAGACTTCATGTGTCATTTTTCTTCTCAAGTAAATGTAGCTTGATTTAAGAATCGTTAGACATTTGTACTGGAAATCTAGAGAAAAATACTGAGGAAGAGCATCACTTTTTTTGCAGTGTGATAAGAGGGAAAAGTACGTTTTCCTTGAAGAAACTTGTAGTTTCTGTGTGTTTCAGGCAGTTCTGCGGGCGACGCGAGCGCTCCTCGTGGCCGGTGTGTGTGCATCAGAGGACGAGCGGCGAGCGTTTGGTGGAGGCAAGCCGGAGGAAAGTTCTGGTGGAGACGCGTTTGGAGAACCAAGGAGAAAACTCATACGGCACGATCCTGCACATCACGCATTCTCCAAACCTCCAGTTCTCCAGTCTGGTGCTGAAGGTTTGCTCGATCTGAATCTCGGCCAGGGCTTCACCTGTATTTATGAGGGTTTAGAGCATTAAAGGAATGGAAGGGTTGCTGATAAACAGGCCAAGAGTGGAAGGGAAACTATGAGTCAGTGTGTGTGGATCTGATCCAAAGACTAGTGACTTCATAGACAGCATCCTAATCTCAGTGGAGCCTGACAAGTGGCTAAGCAACACAAACAGCCTCAGAAGAAACATTATTCAACCAGGGCTTAAAAGGATTTAAATTAAAACCATATGTGAGCCTGCAGCACAAAAGCAGTGTTAAGTCGCTGGGGGATATTTGTAGCAATAGCCAACAATACATTGTATGAGTCACAATTATACATTTCTCTTTTATGCCAAAAATCATTAGGATATTAAGTAAAGATCATGTTCCATGAAGATATTTAGTAAATCTCCTACCGTAAATATATCAAAACGTAATGTTTGATTAGTAATATGCATTGCTAAGAACTTCATTTGAACAACTTTAAAGATGATTTTCTCAATATTTAGATTTTTTTGCTTTCAGCTTTCAGATCATGTATACATCTCAATTTTGAAAAATTGACCCTTATGACTGGTTTTGTGCTCCAGGGTCACAAATAAGCTTTAAAATAAGCTAAAACAGCTAAAAATCGAGATGTAAACTGAATAATCCTTATTGAATTTGTTTCCTCAACAAATTTTTCAAGTGTGATTTCTAGACATGGAAAAGTCATGGAAATTAATATGATCTTATGGAAATTTGTAATATACATTTCTTAATAAATTGGTATTTTGTTCTAAAATAATTGATCAAATTGAAATTTCTATTTGATAAAAATAATTACAACATTAAAAAAAATAATTTAATTAAAAAGATTTTAAAAATAATTAATTTAAATCCTGTAATCACAAATGACTAGAAACGTCATGTAAATTCACTGGTAATTTAAATTTAAAAATGTAAAAGAAAAATTAAAAATCAAGACGTAAACTGAAATCATATTTCTTATTTTAATTTGTTTCCTTAACAACGGCCGTTTTTATTTAATAACCAGGCTTCCCAATGAGATTAATGCATGAAATAATTAATGCATGAAAAATAAATCAAATATATTTTTTAAATAAACCCGTAATCACAAAGAAAATAAATGTGAAACACTGAAAAAGACTGAAAAATTGATGCATGTTTACATTGATCAACAATTTATTACGGATGAAATATGCCGTCTTCAGACAGATGTGGACTGTGTGTTGAAGTGTTCAATGTTATGCAAATAAAACACTTGTAAAGTCAATATATTTACTACTAAAATCACTTTTTGTCCATTCAGTGATTTACTCGATAACGTCTCGAATGATCTTCATTTGTGGGCTTTTCTCAGCAAAAATGCATTGGTTTGAAACGGATTTTTATTCATTTTTTTTCAGGCACCTTCAGACATTGCGATCGAGTGCCCGAACTCTGATGATACGAGTCTCTACCGAACCTGCAACGTCAGCGCGCCGTTCATGAGGTCACATGCTCAGGTGAGACGCCTCAAACCTGTACAGACTGACTAGTCTGAATGCTACTGATCATTCTAGTGGTAGCTGCATGGTTTAGTGATGGTCTCAGGTATGTTATACACCGTGATACTCAATTAACATATGCATATGGCATGATGATACTGACAAAAGCGAAGTTATTTTCCTTGTAGCATTTCCAAAAGCATGTTTTGGTTCATTACCACCGAACAGAAGAACAGTGTGTCCTTTAGTTGCGTTTGGCTTCTCTGTTGTCTTCGGTTGAGCGTTTGGTTGGGTTTCTCCAGGTGTATTTTCGACTGGAGTTTGAGTTCAGCAGATCTGTCTTCTTGAACTTCGTTCAGGTCACGCTGAAGGTCTCCAGGTGAGGTCGTGACCTTTGAACTGATGAGAATCTCATCTCGGGATACATACATTTTTTATTGATGCATAAAATGAATGTAGATGAACTGTGACTTTTTATTTATTTATTTAGTCATTTGCGTTTGATTGTTTCGTGAGATTAATCTGTTTGTTTCATTGCAGTGAAGGTGAAGAAATGTCTCCAGAGGACAACATCAATGACATTTATCATAATCTGAAATATGAGGCTGATATTCTCTTCACAAGGTAACACGGTACATTGAAACTCGCAAAGAAATGTCCAAGTGTTTATATTATGTTATATTATACTGTGTGTATTGTATTATATTAATTATAATATATAATTATCATCATTATTTTAATGTGAAAAAATAACACACACATACACTCACACACACACACACACTCACACTCACACTCACACACTCTCTCACACACACACAAAAATAAATAAAAGAATAAGGGAGCATATTAAATTGTATTGTGTTTTAAATGAGTAAAAAATTATTCCTGACAAATGGGCAAAACCTAGGACAGTGGCACATTTAAAAAATGTAAAATTACAACTAATTAGTATTTGGGGTGAAAGTAATTAGTCTTTTAATATGTCCTAAATTGATTTTTGTTGTAAATACGACACGATTGTTACACTGAATGATATTTTAGTGGGTCTCTTCTGTAAATCAGAGGAAAATGTACGATATTTATTTTTTGCTCAGATAAACAAAAACAAAATTGTAATCAAATTAAACAAAAAACTTTTTACCTTTTTTCTTGGGGGGGGGGGGTTGTCGACAACAACAATTTAAAGTAGTATCACACTTATTGTTTTTATGCTTAAATCATTTTTTGTCTTTGACCCATGTATGTATGTATGTATAACTTGATGCACTAAAACAACTATAACTGAAATAAAATTGCCAACTTTTTCATATTCATAATTTAAATGAATATGAAAACAGAAAATATAAAAACTAAAACTAAATCAAAATTTTAATAAAAACTATAGTAATAAAACTCACTTAAACCTTCAGTCTATTAAAAGTTTTAATAAAAAATCAGTATGGTCCAAAAACAGGACAAAATGAGGAATCTTATTTTCTTCCGAGTTTGAGCGTGAAATATGACACAGACATGTTCTTGACAGGTTTTGTGAGATTCACCCAGAAATATCTTTTAAAGCTAATCAGTGATTATTCAATATTGAATCATTCTCACTGCGAGTCTTTCGTTCAGAGGGTCCAGCCCGTCCCGTTTTGAGATCAAACCTGAGCTTGATCGGAGCCTCAGTGTTGGGACCGGACCGCCCTTCAACCTCTCTTATCAGGCGAGCTCCTCATATTCAAAAATAACAGTTTTAAATAATATTCTTCAGAGCGAATCAGAGCACATACACTGTGCATTTGAACAAAATAAATATTGTCTTTGGACGGCTGAGATGTTTCTCCTGAAACGATTTGTTCTGCAGATCCAAAATCTGGGCATGTTTCCCGTATCTGAGCTTCTCTTCACGCTAAACATCTTCGCTGTGACCAGAAACGCAAACGCTCTCCTGCGCCTCTCAGACTTGGGTATCGATCAGGTGCGTTTATGTCTACAGATTTTCCAATCAATATATTTCAGCCCCAAACAGTTCGTCTGAACTGAACATTGTGTGATTATTGTTGTAAACGATTCCTTTAAGTGCTTCCAGAGCTTGTTATTTTGCATGTTTCATAACGCAAGTGATCTGTTTATCCAGTTTATTTGAGTTGGCGCAGCTTGAGCTCAGGCAGTAGTTGTGTTTTAGTGAGTGCTCTTCTTGTGTAAATCCTCATTTGTGACCCCGGAGCACAAAACCAGTCATAAGGGTCAATTTTTTTAAATTGAGGTGTATACATCATCTGAAAGCTGAGGGTGCAAAAAAATCTAAATAATGAGAAAATCATCTTTAAAGTTGTTCAGATGAAGTTCTTAGCAATGCATATTACTAATCAAACATTACGTTTTGATATATTTACGGTAGGAAATGTACAAAATATCTTCATGGAACATGATCTTTACTTAATATCCTAATGATTTTTGGCATAAAAGAGAAATGTATAATTGTGACCCATACAATGTATTGTTGGCTATTGCTACAAATATCCCCCAGCGACTTAACACTGCTTTTGTGCTGCAGGGACACATATGCTTTATTATCAAGAATGACTTGATATTTGGCGTGTGTTTAAAGGGACAGTTCCCCCAGAAATGAACATTTGCTGTTAATTTACTCACCCTCAGGCCATCCAAGATTTTTCTTCAGTAGAACAGTAAAGAAGATTTTTATCAGCTGTCCGTTTTTGAGAATAAAAATAGCATATCAAGGAACACAAAGTTATACTCATGGCTCCTGATGATACCCCTAATAATATAGTATGTATACTGATATAGTAAGTATACAAATATCAGTGCACTAGTAGTATACTTGTAAGTGTACTATTTCAATACTCCTTGGGACTAAATTGGCCCACTTTCTAGTATATAAAAGTATACTTTAAGTATAACAGTAGTAAACTTTGAGTACACAACTAGTTTACAACTATGGTTTTAGTTTGTACTGCAACTATACTAAAAGTGAACTTATAGGTATACTGATAGTTTACTAATTAAATACTTGTAGCATTTTTAGGACACTTTGAAGTATAGTCTCAGTAAACTACTAGTTTAGTAGTTTTATACCGCAAGTATACTCGTACGTTTAACTTTACATCATACTTTAAGTATACTACTATGTCCCTATTTAGGTATTAATTTGTATATATTTTGTTATATGAATATCTGAACATACAAAACAAAGTATACTACTATGTCCCTATTTAGGTATTAATTTGTATATATTTTGTTAAATGAATATCTGAACATACAAAACATCAAAAGAACAGGGTATCTGCTTCTGCTTTTAAACAAAAACATTTTATTCTAGCTTCATGCATTCTTTTTTTATAAACACTTGAATGTGGGTAAGTTTTATAAATAAAAACAAAATAAACAACATTTTGAGCAAAAAGGCTATGAATTGGATTCAGAATGATAATCAAAACGTAGAT